TATTATTCAGGTAATGGAACAGGGTGAATGTCCCCAAATATTTCTCAATATGAAAAAGAGATATATACTGTGTCAGAAAAGTCATCTTACTCATGGAGTAGAAATTCAAAAATTCTAACAGAAATACCATCTAAATTTTGAAATTTTAGTAGAAAAGAAAGAATGGATAAGAAATTACTGAGGGGAAAAAGGTAGAAAAGAATTCCAAAGCTGAAGAGAGAAATGATTCTTCAGCTTTTTGAGATACAGATCAGACAGAATACATGCAATAATGCTACTTTATGGATGAAATTTATTAAAAAATTGAGAATAATGAGAAAACTAAGTTCCCAGAAAGATAAAAATAGGTTTTCTATGAAGAAATGGAGATCAAATTAACATCACACTTTTCATCAAAACCAATGTGTATTAAAAAAAACTGGAGCAAAATGTTACTATTCTGAAGGAAAATAATTTTGAACCTAAAATTCTGTACTCAGTGAAAGTGGCATTCAATTTGAAAGACCTATGAGAAGCATTTTATTTTAATTTTTTTCACAGAAACATTTTATTTTAGTTTTTTATAGAAATTCACAGAAATTAATATTCAATATTAATTTAATAATTGATATTGAATTAATGAATAAAATAAGATTGTAACTTATTCTAGATTATCATTTTTTTCATTCTTAACATTAAAAAAGGCTTCAAAGTCCAAAATGAAAGTTTGTTTCTCTTTTTAAAAATTAAAAAAAAAATTTTTCTTTGCATTTTTTCCATTAAAATTTGCTACACATAAAAATCTGAAAACATTGTTAGAGAAGACTTCCATAAATAAATGTATACACATATATACATACATACAGCAAACCAATGAAATAAAAAGTAAACAAAGGAGCAAAAATGCAGCCTAGCAAACATATAAAACATTTTAAATTATAAATAATTATTTATGAAGAATCTAAAAATAATAATAACCATGTAGATCTCAAATCCCAGCTGATCTTAGCATATAATGTGATGGGGGTTAATGGGCTAGAAGGATGTGATAGAGACAAAAGTTTCTAATACGGTAGCATAAAATATATACAATGGGAAAATCTTAAAGAAGTGAGAGTACACATAAAGACCTATCCTAGAGATCCAACATAAAAATAATTGAAATCTCAGGATGAGAGAAGCTAGAAGATGTAAGAAAAAAATTATTGAAGAGAAATAGCAGAAAAAATTTCAATACTAAGAAATCACATGAAAAAATGACCCATATTATCCCAGAAATGTTCCATTAAAATTTGCAATAAACCAAGAGAGAAGACATGGTCCGGAAAACAGTTGATAGTAAGTTGTCTAAGTAAATAATGGTGATGATGATGAAAATGATAATTAGTATCTATTGAGCTATTTACTACCTGTCTAACAAATTTACATTACTTATACTACCCTCCCAAGCATCTAAGATGTATTATGTAAAGTAATTAAGGAAGTATTTAAATGAGAAATTTCTAATTTTACATTTATCTAAAATTGGTGGATCAAGAAATAGAAATAAAAAGAATTACTGAGTTGTGATATTATTACTAGAAAAACTAACACTGAATTTATGAGAAACGTCATCTGGAGAATGGGGAGTATATGGTCTGTAGATTACGTTTTCTCTTAAACCTTTCTATACTACTTGGTTTGTTACCAATGTGTCTGTTAATTTGATCAAATGAAAATGAGAAAGATAAACAGAAGCACAAAAAGAATAAAACATAAGCCATTCAACAAATGAAAAGGGCAAAAGAAAGTGTTAAGAATGGAAAATGTTTAGTATGTTGACAGGAATAATTTCAAGATCACAATAAATATGACTATAATAAATTCCTTTATCATGATCTAGATTCTACGGTTACAAAGAATCCAACTATTAGAATTTGCAAATGACACATGGAAATAGGCACTTGACCTTTCCTGGGACATTCTGCTTTTTTGGACATCTTTCCCCTTTGGAGACCCTTCCCATTATACATTTCTTATTCACAGGATAAATGTTCCCAGAATCCCCTGATATTATGGCAAACATATGTGACAAGATATGTCAATCGAACACATGTGTAAGACAAACTGGGAAGTGGAAAAATGACCATCAGGGGTCACTGGAGTTCCAAAGGGATTAGTTGCGGCCTGGCCCCCAGCTTGCAGTGGGGTTTATAGGATTGGGTGATTGGGTGTCTGTGCTAAGTAGAAGCAGGACTGTGTTTCACTAGTGTAGCCATTGCAGCGTGGTTTAGTTTTTCCTGCTAAGCAAGCCTTGAGCCTGATTTTGTGATCTACACACTCTCTGAGCTATCTAATACCCTTAAAATTTTTCTATTATGTTATAACTAATGAATTTCCAACTGGTGTTATTTTCATCTAAAAACCCTGAGATACACCTGAAAAGTAAATGATTTGGAAAGATTGTGTGATAACAAGCTAAAATTATTTTGGATAAATTGCTGAAACCATGAATATTACATTTCAAGGTGAGGTACTAGATCAGGTTGAAATTTTCAAAAGGGTGACCAAAATCTACTTATACGAGCCTTCCATCTCCTAACCACAAGAAAGATATAAAAGGGTTAGTTTTATAGATGAAATAAGTAGAGGATTTTTAGAGAAATCCATCCCACAAATGAAAAAAACCTTGAACAAGATTACTTGGAGAACTTATTATGTGAACCCCAAGAATTTAGGGGACACGATATATCTGATTCCATCTTGGGAAGTCTAAAAGGCAAGAGATGCATTTGGTAGTTGCACTGAAGATAAGTAAAGAAGCAGGCTTCGTAGTGTGGCCTTTATGTGTGGAGTGTGTCAGAGAAACAGATGTAGAAATGCGTCCTGTGAGTCCAACTGCGGGCCATACAAAAGAAAGAGCAGAAGTTATCTTAGCTCTTATACAAAAGAACCCTGAGAGATGACAGACCATGTATAGAGAAACCGGATTTCCCTGAATAACTGTAGATCCAGGAAAGACAAAGTAACCAGCTAGAATAGCGATGGATTTGCCTACATCAAAGAAATGTACCTGCATTTAAGGTTTCTTCGTATCTTTTTGTGGCTTGAGCTCATTTACTTTTATGCTAAATTCTATTCAATTGTGCTGGTATACAACAGTTTACCCAGTCCTCTATTAAAGGACTTAGTTGCTTCCAGTTTTGGCAACTATGAATAAAGTTACTATAAACATTTGTGTGCAGATTTTTGTGTGATAATGTTTCCACCTCATTTGGGTAAATGCCTAAGAATGCAATCACTGGGTTGTACGGTAAGCCCGTGTTTAGCTTTGTAAGAAACTGCCAAACTCTTACAAAGTAGTTATGTCATTTTTTCATTCCCATGAGATTTCCTGTTGCTCTACATCCTTGTCACCATTTAGTGTTGCCAGTGTTTGGATTTTAGCCATTCTAAAAGCTGTGTAATGGTATCTCATTGTTTCAATTTGCCATCCCCTAATGATATTTAATGTTTTATATCTTTTTATAGGTTTATTTGACATCTGTATATTTTTTTGGTGAGGTGTCTATTCAGATCTTTGCCCATGTTTTAGTTGGGTTGTTTTCTTATTAGTGAGTTTTAAGAGTTCTTTGTAGATTTTGGATACAAGTTTATTTTTAGATCTGAGTTTTACAAATATTTTCTCCTAGTCTGTGGCTTGTCTTTTTACCCTCTTAACAGTGTCTTTTTAAAAGCAGATTATTTTCATTAACCTAAGTCTGACATCAACTTTTGCTTTCATGGATTGTGCTTTTGGTGTTGTATCTAAAAAGTTATCTTTAAACCCAAGCTAGGTTTTTCTCCTATGTTATCTTTTAGACGTTTTATAGTTTTGCATTTTACATTTAGGTCTACGATCCATTGTAAGTTCATTTTTGCAAAGGTGTAAGGCCTGCATCATTTTTCACCATGCGGACATCCAATTGTTCCAGTACCATTTGTTTAAAAAGATTATCTTTTTCCCATTTAATTGCTTTTATTCCTTGTCAAAGACCAGTTGGCTATGTTTATGTGAGTCTATTTCTTGGCTCTCTATTCTATTCCATTGAATTATTTGTCTATTATTTGCCAATATCACATTCTCTTAATTACTGTATCTTTATAGTAAGTCTTGAAGTCAAATAGTATCAGTCTGCTGACTTTGTTGTTCTTCTTCCCTATTGTGGTGGCTACTCTGGGTCTTTTGCTTTTTAATATAAACTTTACAATATGTTTTTCAATATCTAAAAAACAACTTTATGAGATTATGATTGGATGGATTGAATTTTTAAATCATACAGGAGTGAGCAAACATAGGTTTACATCTGTTTGTATGGAAAATAATACAATAATGGATAAATAACAATACAAGAATAAGTTGTGTTTTTCATACTCACAACTATAAACCTACTTTTGTTCACCCTTGTATTGGGAAGAATTGACATTTTAACAATACTGAGTTTTTCTTTCCCTGCTAAATCTATCCATTACTGATAGAGGGGTGTCAAAGTCTCCAACTATAATAGTAGATTTGTCTATTTCTCCTTAAAGTCTATGAGTTTTTGTTTCATATATTTTGATTCTCTGCTGTTGGGGTCATACTCATTAAGGATTATTGGGTCTTCTTGGAGACTGACCCTTTTGTCATTATGTAATAAATTTTTTGTCCCTGAAAATTATCCTTGCTTCTGAAATCCAGTTCATCTGCTATTAATATAGCCACTTCAGTTTTCTTTGATTAATATTAGCATGATATGTTCATCTTCACCCTTTTATTTTTTATTTTTTCATAGCACACTGAATTTTAGTGTTCGCCTTTTGGGGAAAGGGAAGTCATACAACTCACTTTTGGAGATACCTCAAAGGTTGTCTGTTCCAGAAAATATTTGGTTCAATTTCTTGCGGGCTCAGGCTACTGAAAGACATGTAACATTGGTCGCTCATACCCCTCTGGGCTGATGTAAGGCAGAAAGTAGACAAGGTGGTCATCTGAGACAGGTGGGCAGAGCATGGGCACGGGCTCAAGTTATTGTCGACAGAGGGAGTCGGTCCTGGTTGCTTGCTGGGGCTATGGAGGGAAGCCCGAGGGCTCTGGCAGGGTTGCTGTGTTGCCTTTCATCTGCCCATTCCCCCAGCTCACTGCTCTGGAAACACAGCTCGCTCTCCCTCTGGGCCCCTCCCACAAGGCGCTGAAATGAAAGATGTTCCCAAAGCTTCATGGACTAACCCAGACCATTTTGGGGAGCCTCATTTTCCCAGCAGTCCTTCTGTGCCAACCGCTTAGGGTGTCTGCAGATGTAGACACTGAAGTCTCCCTGGATGGTGGTGTGGGGCAGCCTCAGCCTACTTGGTTTGTCCTATTATGGTCCTTAGGTGCCGACCACATTGTGGCCTTCCCAGACCATGACCACCCCTGGACCAGAGCTCAAGTAGCTGATGAGGGCTGAGTAGGTCTTTCTCCTCGGGTCTTGTCGGTGCTCAGCCAGCGTGCTCTCTGGTGCCTGTAGCATCTTGATCACCAGCAGCTTGAAGCCTCTCCTCTCAAAACTCTAGATCTACTGCTGCAGCCCATCTGGCTTCACCTTGATCACTGGCAGCTCCAGGGCTAGGAATTCCCTGACAAGCATGACATGGCTGGACCAGGAGACCACCCCCCCACCGCCACAGCAGCCCCTCTGGCTCCTTTCACAACTTTCCTTTTTCTCTTTTCTTTTTTCTTTTCTTGTTCTTCCTTCCTTCCTTCCTTCCTTCCTTTCTCTCTCTTTCTGTCTTTCATTTATTTATAGTTTTTCGTTTCCTACAACTTGAAAACAATATGCCTAGGTATAATTTTTTAAAATATATTTTGATTTATTCTGCTTGGCATTTTCTAATTCTTGATCTGAGGTTTGGTGTCTGTCACTAATTTTGAAAAATTCTCAGTCATTATTACTTCAAACATTCCTTCTGTTCCTTTCTCTCTTTCTTTTCCTTCTGTTATTTGTATTCGATGTGTGTTATCACTTCTGTAATTGCCCCACAATTCATGTATATTTCCTTTTTCTCTGTCTGTTTTCCTTTTACTTTTGAAAGTTTCCACTGACATCTTTATATGTGATTCTTTCCTCAGTTATATCCAGTCTACTGAAGAGCCATCAAATGCATTCTTCATTTTTGTAATTTTTTTTTTATTTCTAGCATTCAGGTTTGATTGTTTCTCAGGGTTTCAATCTCTCTTCTATTAACCGTTTGTTCTTGTATGTTGTTTATTTTTTCCTTTACAACCCTTAATGTATTAATTACAGCTATTTTAAATTTGTGGTCTGATGAATTCAAAATATCTTTAAATTATAAGCCTGAATCTGATACCTGCTTTGTATCTTGACTGTGGGGGGAATGTGTGTGTGAGTGAGTGAGTGTGTGTGTGTGTGTGTGTGTGTGTGTGTGTGTTTATTGGAGCTTATAATTGTATATTGAAAGTTGGACATGGTATATTGGGTAAAGAAAACTGAGGTGAACAGACCTTTAGTGTCAGGTTTTACATTGGTCTGGCTAGGAATTAGGCTGTCTTTAGTGATTGCTGTATCTGTAGGAGTCAGAGGTTAACATTTCCTCTAATGTCCTTGGTTCTGTGTTCTATGTTGCCTTTGGGTTTCCCTAGAGACCCTTTCTTAAATAGAGTCTGAGCTTTGCTGTTTTTTCAGATGTAACTCCTTACTATTATACAAGATTTCTGTTGTAGCAGTACAGTGTAAAGAGGAAGTGTTCTATGAGTCTATTATTAGGTCTCAGTCTTTGGTGGGCCTGTGCCCCTGGACTGTGATCTTTACAAGTACATTTTAGCTGTTTCCCTCTCCCCCGCCCTTAGCTGAGACAGGAAGGTTTGAGGGCATTAGAGTTGTGCATTTCCCTTCTGCCATCTGAAAAGCTGGAGAGAACCAGTGTTAGGCGTTTCTGTTGCCACAGGTAAGTTAGGTTCCAGCAAAATGGTTTCCTTTGAAAGGAGGTCTTTGTTAAGGAGAACACAATGCCCTGGGCATATTTTAGAAAGGTTACTTTTCCCTTTGCCAGAAACAATGGAGATTTGTATCGGATCTTCACTGTGAAAAGCTGGTGAACTTCATGAGGATAAAGCTCTGAGAAGTTAGGGGAGCTTCCGAAGGCTGGGCCTCCAGTAGTTCATCTCTTAAGCCAGTCCATGTTCAGTCTCCAGCAATTGGTCAGGTGCCATTTATGTGTTCCCATCAGTTCCTGGCTCCAGGGGTTTCTGTTCCCCATAAACTGTGATACTCAATATCCATCTTTCTGTCTCTCAGTTTTGGGGCCAGTGGTTTGCCCTTGGTTTCAATTCTCCAATGGATCTAAGAAGAGCTGTTGATTTTAAGTTTGTTCATCTTTTTGGTTTTCAGGACAGGGGTGATGCCCTCCAAACTCAGCACATGTTAGATCCAAACAATTTTATCAATGAATTCTCCTAAACTTAAAAGATCAGACTCCAGTGGTATGAAAATTATTGAAATCATGAAAAAGCTATGATTTCAACATAATGTATAAATCTATTATAAAACCCTCATATAAATATCAAAGTTAACACAAAACTTGACAATTGTAGTTCCTTCTCTCTTATATAAAAACATAGAGATAAATGTCCTAAACAAAATATTTAAATGTGATAAGATAGATTTTTTATAACTATTTTTCCCTTAATATTTTTGGAGAAACAGCTTAGCTTTCCTAATAGTTTTGTTACCACAAATGAGAAGCTTTTCATTTTCAATTCTCTGAATTACTTATTCAGAAGAGGCTGGGCACAGAAGAGATATGCGATATACGTTTTCAATGAATGGATGATTATCATATATACGAAGTTCTATAAGGAGAATTGTGAGAAACACAAAAAGAATAGGGCAAGGCCACTACTCTTAAGGAACTTACAGTCTCTTGGGGACTCGGCCACAAACATAAGACTCACCCAAATTGGACTGTGATAATTGCTACTATGAAGAAAAAAAAATCACATTTCTATCTGCGCATGTGGGAGAGAGAGATTAATTCTCTCAGGCAGTGTTTATTTAGATCATGGTTTAAGAAATAGAGGGAAATGAAGCTTTCTGACTAAACTTAATTTCACAATTACCAAGAATCATAGAATTAGATTTGCACAGTAGTCTATCAGAGGCTTAGTTATTGCCAATTAGATCATAGAATTGTTTTAGAATGCTTATTCTAGATTTCAAAAATTTGATTTTAGAACCTAAATTTTCCCAGGCTTTATCACTCTGAAAGTATACTGTGTCACTTTTATGGCAAATAAACAATGTCCTCGGTATCTTGTCTCCATGTGCATACTTGAAAAACCTCAGCCTCTCAAAGTCTCATCAAAATGATTCTGGAGATCCCCAGGAAGGTTTCATCATCTTTTCTGGATCTTCTGCCCTGCCCCTCCGTCCTGACGCAGTCCACGGTTCTAGAAGCCTTGCCTTGTCACTGCTGCTAGTGCCTCCTTAACCTTCAACAGTGTTGCCTCCTACTTCTTTCTTGCAGCAAAATTGAATTTTTTATATGAGAGAGAAAAGGTCTTAGTTCCCCATACTGTGTGGCCATTTGTGAAGTGGGCACTGGTACGGCTTTGTTGTCATGAGCCAGAGTGAATCTTTCTCTCTCTCTCTCTTGCGCGCGCGCGCGCGCACACACACACACACACACACACACACACACACTTCTTTCTCCACCTCCCCTCCCCCTTTTTCTTTTGTTTTTACAGAAAACTATGTAGTTTGGAAATGGGACCATCATCAAAAACTTTCTCTGTTCTCTTTTCCCATTCCTCATAAATTTTCCTCATTATCCTTTCAGGCAAAAAAAAAAAATTCTCTCCTCTCCGAAACCAGGCAAAAAAAATCTCCAAATCCTGGAAACTCAGCTCATCACTTCCTGAGATATCTCTGATTACTTCTAACTCCCAGTGTAGGATATAAATCACCCTTCACAGACTCAGGGAAACAAGAAAAATTGCATCTCTTTATTTTTTTTTATAAATCCACTTATTTTTATTTTCAGGTCCTTCCTGCTTGATCGTTCTCCGGGGGTTCATGCCATGTTTGGGACATGGGACTATCTTATGGCCTCCCAGAATCCCATTGTCCAGACATACCATCCTTCTCTGGAGACTTACTTCTTCCTTAGGCTGCTGCCAAGGAGGTGCTGACACAGCCTCTTCTGCTTGCACGACCTTCAGATATTTCTCTCCTTTCTTTCCACCTCAAACTTAGTCTAGAGCAGTATTTTTGTAGTTGAGGAGGGGTGTCTCTCTCGCTTCTATTTTTTTTTTCAAGCTACTCTGCTTCTTCCTGCATGCTACTTTGCTTCCTTCCTTTCACCTCTCCCAAATGCATGTGATTTTCTAAAGGGTTGGGAAACAAAGAGCCAAGAAATCTGGTTTCAGTCCCGTAGCATTCATCCCCTGAGGCAATGCGAGACAGCAAGTCTGTGCTTTGAAAGAGAGGAAGGGAAAGAGGCACAATATGGGGATAATCTCATCAAAAAATTATTTCAAATATTGCTGAGCTGTATCAGCTTTGTCTTCAGCGTAGATTCTCCACTACATTTTGGAATTTTGGAATTGTAAAGACTTTTAGAGATGGCCTACTTCTATAGCTGATGAAGAGAAGGAGACTCAGGAAAAAAAAAAAAAAGATGATTTGAAGTTAATTCTGGTAATTTATTACTATGTAGCAAATCATCCCAAAACTTAGTGGCTTAAAACAACAACAATATTTATTTTATTATTTTTATTATCATTATTACCACCATCATCATCTTTAATGGTCCTGGAGTTGACTGAGCTCAGCTGGGCAGTTCTCACTTGGAGTCTCTATACATGGTTGGATCAGACTGTGGGGACTGGGACACCTGAAGGCTTGTTCACTCACACGTCTAAAAGTTGATGCTGCCTGGTGGCTCAACTGAGCGAGGACTGAACAGTTGCAGCTCCTCCAGCTTGTTCCTCTGTCTTTATGTACTCTTTTGATATGGTCTTCCCAGCATCGTTTTTTTTATATTGTGGCTTAGGGCTCCAAAGGTACATGTTGAGAGAGAGTAAGAGAGAGAGAGCTAGATGAAGCTGTGACCCTTATCATGAATTAACCTCTGAAGATAGGTCGCTAAGATTAAGACCAGCCCTTATTTAACGGTGGAAAACTAGAACTTATTTTTTGAAGGAAATGTAAAGTAATTTACAGACATGTTTTTTTTTATTTATTTTTAATTTTTTACTATGATAAAATACACATAACATAAAATTTGACATCTTAATTATTTTTCAAAGTACACCGGTCAGTGGTGTTAAGTATGTTCACCTTGCTGTGCAACCATTGCCACCATCCATCCACAGAACTCTTCTTGCAAAACAGAAACTCTGTATCCATTAAACAATAACTCTCTATTCTCCTCCTCTCCTCTGCTCCTAGCAACCAGCATTGTACTTTCTGTCTTTAGAAGACCTCATATAAGGGAATCATATACTGTTTTC